GCCTAAGATTTACTGAGCAATTATTATGCACCAAGAATTGCATTAAGTGTTTTATAATATTCTATCCCATTTAATCCTTAGGACAACACAACAAACAGATATAATGCAAAGAACCTGAGGAACTTCATACAGTCAGCAAGTGGCAGGACCCGGATCTAAGCTAAACAGTCTGACCTCAGAGCACCTGCACTCACTCTCTATACTGTTATATGACCTCCCAGTTTACTTTTTGGTTTCTACCATATCGCCTATTATTTCTAGACAAACATATTTGTATTTTATGTATTTGTTTTTAATGTTGGTTGGTAGGTATTTTTTATAAGAGCTTATGAAATATAATTCACAATACCATACCATTCACCCATTTAAAGTGTAAAACTTTTGCTTTTTTAATGATTATTGAACAGAGTTGTACAACCATTACAATTTTAAAGAATTTTTTTTTTAATTTATTCATTTGAGACACAGAGATACAGAGAGAGAGAGTGCATGAGCAGGCGGAGAGGCAGAGGGAGAGGGAGAAGCAGGTTCCCCGCTGAGCCAGGAGCCAGACATGGGGCTCAATCCGAGGACCCTGGGATCATGACCCAAGCTGAAGGCAGACGCTTAACCATCTAAGCCACCCAGGCACCCCATTACAATTAATTTTAGAAGCACACTAAAAAAAATCCCTCACTTATTAGCAGTCACTCCATTTCCACCCAAGCCTCCCAGCAACAGGTCACCACCAATTTATAAAGTGTCTCTTCAGGTTTGCCTATTCTGGACATTTACAGGGGAATCATATGCATTCTTTTGCATCTGAGTTCTTTCACTTAGCGTAATGTTCTCAAGGTTCCCCCATGCTGTGGCATGTATCAGTACTCCCTTTCTATGGCTGGATAATATTCCACTGTAGGATACACTACATTTTATTTATCCATTCACCGGTTGATAAACGTCTAGGTTGTTTCCAAATTTTATGAACCATGCTGCTATGAACATTTGTGTACAAGTTTTGTTTTTTTTTTACGATTTATTTATTTTAAAGATTTTATTTACTTATTTGAGAGAGAGAGTGTGAGAAAGAGCACAAGCAGGGAGGAGGGAAAGAGGCAGAAGCAGGCTCCCCACTGAGCAGGGAGCCCCACATGAAGCTCAATCCCAGGACTCTCAGACTATGACCTGAGCTGAAGGCAGACGCTTAACTGACTGAGCCACCCAGGCGCCCCTACATTTACTTATTTCAGAGACAGAGACAGCATGCACGAGCAGGGGTTAGGGAAGAGGGAGAGAGAGAGTGAGGGAGAGAATCTCAAGCGCCGGAGCCCAATACTGGGCTCAATCCCGACCCATGAGATCATGACCTGAGCTGAAACCAAGAGTCAAACACTCAACCAACTGAGCCACCCATGTGCCCGTGTTTTCAATTCTCTTGGGTACATACCTTGGAGAGGAAGTGCTGAGTCATATGGTAACCCTATGTTCAGCCTTTCTGAGAAACTGCCAGACCTAAGTGGCTGCACCACTTTACATTCCTATCAGCAATATGTTAAGGATTCCAATGTCTCCACATCCTCTCCAACACTTAGCAGTCTTTTTTAATTTTAGTCATCCTAGTACGTATAAAGTAGTATCTCACTGGAATTCTTAATTTGCATTTCCCTATTGAACAGGGAATAATGATGGGCATCTTTTTTAGGTGCTTAGTGGCTAGTTGTATATCTTCTTTGGAGAACTCTCTATTTAGATCCTTTGCTCATTTTTAAAATTGAGTTATCTTTTTATTACTGAGCCACAAGAATTCTGTATATATTCTAAATACAAGTGCTTTATCAAATAACATGATTTGCAAATATCTTCTATTTTGTTGGTTATATTTTCACTTTTTTGGTAGTGTCCTTTGAAGCACAAAAGTTTTTAATTTTGACAAAATCCAATTTATCTATTTTTTCTTTGTACTTTTGGTGTCATGCCTAACCAACCACAGCCTAATCCAACCCCACATTTATGCCTGTGTTTTCATCTATGAGCTTTTAGTATTAGCTCTTACATTTAGGTCTTTGATCCATTTTAAGTTACTTTTGTACATGGTGTGAGGTAGGTGGATGTATTTTTTTAACTCATGTTTTAAAGGCTAGAATTGGCATTACCCATTTACTCCTATCTCTCCATCATTCCCCTCTCATCAATCATCAGCTAACACAGATTTTAAAAACTCAGAATCTGAAGTCAAAATGCCTGGGTTAGAGTACTAGCTCTGTCTCATACGACCTAGAACAAGATTCCTAAATTCTCTGGGCCTTAATTTCCTTGTCTGTAAAACAAAGACAGTAACAAACCCAACCTCAAAAATGAGGATTAAGTGCTAATAATACATACAAATGCTGAGTAGAGTGTTTGCCATATCGTAAGCACTTAATAGACTTCAACTATTAATTACTGCTTTCTAAATATCACTCAGGTTTGGCCATTCTCTCTAGCACCATAGCTTCTACCTTAGTTTAGGTCACCGTCATTTCTTACTTGGATTATAAACCCTATTCTTCTTTTTGTTAATATTTTATTTATCTATTTATCCATCCATCCATCCGAGAGAGTGAGCGAGAGTACAAGCAGAGGGAGCAGCAGAGGGAGAGGGAGAAGCAGGCTCTCTACTGATAAGGGAGCCCGATGCGGGGCTCGATCCCAGGACCCTAAGATCATGACCTGAGCTGAAGGCAGACACTTAACCGACTGAGCCAGCCAGGTGTCCCTATAAACCCTATTCTTAAATGGTTTTCCTCCCTCTAATCTTGTCCTCTTCCAAATTCATTCTCTACTCTGAACTCATAATAACCACTATTAAAATCAATCCCCTGCATTAAAAAAAAAAATAGTTCTCTGGTGCTAGGACAAAGTCCAAACTTCTTAACAACTGAGACATGAAGACTTTTAGGTTTGGCTGCTCTTTAACTCTAGCCTAATCTCTTACTATTATTCCTACCTGGAGGCATGATTTCTTCCACCTCTAGAAGACTGGCTAAATCAGCTTTCGGGGATCCGCTTAGACACCACTTTCTCTGACAAGCCTTTATAGATGGCTCCAGAGCCAGTCCAAGGATAATACCCCTTCTATATCAGTGTAAACTCTCCCAAACACTACTAACACATTCATTACACTGTGTAATAATTTTTTTACTTATATCTATCTGAGACTTGGTGGGGGGCAAGCCCCAATATATATCACTGCATCCCCCTAATGAGTACTACAGTATGAGCCATACAGTAGATATTTAATAAATGTTGCATGGATGGAGGAATGACCTCAAAAGTACACAATCTCAAAGTGGCACTTTTCTCCACTAGAGAGAGAACCAACTAAAACAAAACAAAATCCGTAACTTCATAATATTTTCACGTTCCAGAGTCTGAAAGTTTCAATTAAACATGAATACTACTGTCATAGCTATTATGATGCACATGTGTTTCATCTCTGGTTGGCTATGAGCACTCAAAAAACTCAAGATGTTTGCTGTGTCAAGTGTACAAAACTTAAGTTACATAAATTTATTTTTCAAGTTACTCTATTTTCTAGTCCTTACTTTCTCTGAGATGTTTTAGAGTTAAACATGAACTTTGTGCAAACACCAATAATGTTATTAAACAAATTCAACTTACAAGAGGGGGAAAAAAGAAATTTTGGTTAATTTTACTACTTTAATTGCTGATTTTAATGCAACTATAAAAAAAAATCGCTTCAGAAACTTACTAACTCCTAAAACGTATCACTTAATTCAATGAAGTTCAATCTTTACCCCTATTCTACTTGAGGGTAAAAATATGAGTTTGGAGATAAAAAGTGGCCTTATCTCTTAGAAATGCATACAAATTATTGGGCGCCTGGGTGGCTCAGTTGGTTGAGCGACTGCCTTCGGCTCAGGTCATGATCCTGGAGTCCCTGAATCGAGTCCCGCATCAGGCTCCCTGCTCGGTGAGGAGCCTGCTTCTCCCTCTAACCCTCCCCCCTCTCATGTACTCTCTCTCTCTCTCATTCTCGCTCTCTCAAATAAATAAATCTTAAAAAAAAAAAAAAGAAATGCATACAAATTATTAATGGATAAATTAGAGTAGAAGGTTGGCAAATTCACCTATAAAGCTATCTACCTGAGTCTTTAGCCTTTTGAAAGTGAAGAAATTTGGTTTTTAATTAGTATTCCAATTTGGCAGTTATTAGTCTATTCAAATTATTCATTTATTTTGTCAATTTTACATTTTCTATTTCTCCAAACACAAATCCAATTGGTTTAGGTTTTTAAACGTATTAGCGTGTACTCACATTTCATAATTAAAATACCTTATAAATGGAAAAAAAGCTGTTAGAAACTACAACCAAACTATAAATTTATGAAATCAAATTTGACCCATGTATCAACATTTAAGGGCAAATTTAATTTGAAAAAATATATACCTCTACTTACACTTTCTCTTGAAAAAAATCCACATATACTTGGCTATCAGAAGCTATCAACCTATAAAAGGGGTTGGCAAACTTTTTCTTGCTTTTTTTTGCCAAGGATGCCATCAAGAGCAGTTCATAGGGTTCTATAAAGGAATCAAAGCAGTTAAAGGTTTTCCCCTACTAAAAGATTTTGTGATGTGTATCATTATTATCCTCAATCTTCAGATGAGGAAATTGAGACTTAGAACAGGTTGTTCATCCAGGGTCTGATTCTATAGCCAATGCATATCTCTTATTATTCTGCCTCAATATACTGAATTGATAAAGACAAAAATATGATAAATCAAAATATGTAATTAGTTATGCCTTCTAAAAGTCAAATCACAGATCACTAAAGCAAAGTATCATTTATCAACTTAGTATTCTGAGTTGTTTTTTTTATTAAGGCTGATTCAGCACTTAATCACGGTTTCAAATATGCTTTTGGACATTTTTGTTCTGAAGAGTTACCTATAAAATAACATATCACCAGGAAAACAACAAATCCCTTGTTTGGATTTTGTGGTATTTGTGCTCCTACCTGACACTGGTTAATAGCTGCATGGTTGCCATGGAATGGAGACTGTCTTTCTTTATCTCGATGATGTCGACTGCTGTGTTTACTTCTCTGCAATTGCTGGCGTAATTTTGCAATCTGAAAAGGGGAAAAATAAAAAGTGCATCAGAGTTTTCCAAGCTACATAAAACATATCCTTGCTTAGTAAGAACCAGTAAAATTCACCTTAATACATCTTTTGACTTTTAAAACCCTGTCACAAAATCTGATTTACTGTACAAAATTTATATATATACACATACATTATGTGTGCACATATGTGTATCTTTCTTTTGGAGACAAACAAAAATTATGTTCCAACACTGTTCACAGCCTTCAAGCTTCCCAAGTACTAAACCAATGAAGTTTTCAGCACTTAGAATAAATTACGTTATAACTGTCAGAAAGAATTTAAAAATAATGAAAATTATTCCCATGGTCTTAAAAATGAGTCATTTTATTTAGATTTCTTTAAACACCTAACCTTCAATAGTTCCAAAAATTAAACAATATTTAAAAATCAATTCAAGTTTAAACTACCAAACTGAACCAGGAAGAAACAGAAAACCTGAACAGACCCATAACCAGTAAGGAAATTGAAGTCTTAATCAAAAATCCCCCAACAAACAAGAGTCCAGGGCCAGATGGCTTCCCAGGGGAATTCTACCAAACATTTAAAGAATTAATACCTATTCTTCTGAAACTGTTCCAAAAGTAGAAATGGAAGGAAAACTTCCAAACTCATTTTATGAGGCTAGCATTACCTTGATCCCAAAACCAGACAAAGACCCATCAAAAAGGAGAACTACAGACCAATATCCCTGATGAACATGGATGCAAAAATTCTCACCAAAATACTAGCCAATAGGATCCAACAGTACATTAAAAGGATTATTCACCACAACCAAGTGGGACTTATCCCTGGGCTGCAAGGTTGGTTCAACATCCGCAAATCAATCAATGTGATTTGATTGTAATACATTAATAAAAGAAAGGATAAGAACCATATGATCCTCTCAATAGATGCAGAAAAAGTATTTGACAGAGTACAACATCGTTTCTTGCTTAAAACTCTTCACAGTGTAGGGATAGAAGGTACACACCTCAATATCATAAAAGCCATCTATGAAAAAACCACAGAGAATATCATTCTCAATGGGGAAAAACTGAGAGCTTTCCCCCTAAGGTCAGGAACACGACAGGGATGTCCACTATCACCACTGCTATTCAACATAGTATTAGAAGTCCTAGCCTCAGCAATCAGACAACAAAAAGAAAGAAAAAAAATCCAAATCGAGAAAGAAGTCAAACTCTCACTCTTCACAGATGACAAACTCTCACTCTTCCACTCTATGTGGAAAACCCAAAAGATTCCACCCCAAAATTGCTAGAACTCATACAGGAATTCAGCGAAGTGGCAGGATATAAAATCAATGCACAGAAATAAATTGGATTTCTATGCACTAACAATGAGACAGAAGAAAGAGAAATTAAGGAGTCAACCCCATTTACAACTGCACCCAAAACCATAAGACACCTAGGAATAAACCAAACCAAAGAGGCAAAGGATCTGTACTCAGAAAACTATAGAATACCCATGAAAGAAATTGAGGAAAACCAAAGAAGTGTAAAAACGTTCCATGCTCATGGATTGGAAGAACAAATATTGTGAAAATGTCTATGCTACCTAGAGCAATCTACACATTTAATGAAATCCTTATCAAAATACCATCAACTTTTTCAAAGAAATGGAACAAATAATCCTAAAATTTGCATGGAACCAGAAAAGACCCCAAATAGCCAGAGGAATGTTGAAAAAGAAAAGCAAAGCTAGTGGCATCACAATTCCGGACTTCCAGCTCTATTACAAAGCTGTCATCATCAAGACAGTATGTTACTGGCACAAAAACAGAGAGAGATCAATGGAACAGAATAGAGAGCCCAGAAATGGACCCTCAACTCAATGGTCAACTCATCTTCGACAAAGCAGGAAAGTAAATCCAATGGAAAAAAGTCTCTTCAACAAATGGTGTTGGGAAAATTGGACAGCCACGTGCAGAAGAATGAAACTGGACCATTTCCTTACACCACACACAAAAATAGACTCAAAATGGAAGAAAGACCTAAATGTGAGACAGGAATCCATCAGAATCCTAGAGGAGAACACAGGCAGCAACCTCTGTGACCTTGGCCGCAGCAACTTCTTGCTAGACAGGTCTCCAAAGGCAAGGGAAACAAAGGCAAAAATGAAAACTGGGACTTCATCAAGATAAAAAGCTTCTGCACAGCAAAGGAAACAGTCAAAAAAACCAAAAGACAACAGACAGAATGGGAGAAGATATTTGCAAATGATATATCAGATAAAGGGTTAGTATCCAAAACCTATAAAGAACTTATCAAACTTGACACCCAAAGAACAAATAATCCAATCAAGAAATGGGCAGAAGACATGAACAGACATTTCTGCAAAGAAGGCACCCAAATGGCCAACAGACACAGGAAAAAGTGCTCAATATCGCTCGGCATCAGGGAAATCCAAATCAAAACCTCAATGAGATACCAGCTCACACCAGTCAGAATGGCTAAAATTAACAAGTCAGGAAACAACAGATGTTGGCAGGGATGTGGAGGAAGGGGAACCCTCCTACACTGTTGGTGGGAATGCAAGCTGGTGCAGCCACTCTGGAAAACAGTATGGAGGTTCCTCAAAAAGTTGAAAATAGAGCTACCCTACGACTCAGCAATTGCACTACTGGGTGTTTACCCCAAAGATACAAATGTAGTGATCCAAAGGGGCATGTGCACCCCAATGTTTAGAGCAGCAATGTCCTCAATAGCCAAACTATGGAAAGAGCCTAAATGTCCATCAACAGATGAATGGATCAAGAAGATGCGGGTGTGTGTGTGTTTGTGTTGTGTGTGTGTGTGTGTGTACACACAAAGGAATATTATGCAGCCATCAAAAAGTGAAATCTTGCCATTTGCAACAACATGGATGGAACTAGAGGGTATTATGCTAAGTGAAATAAGTCAATCAGAGAAAGACAAGTATCATATGATCTCACTGATAGGAATTTGAGAAGACAGAGGATCATAGGGGAAGGGAGGGGAAAATGAAACAAGACGAAACCAAAGAGGGAGACAAACCATAAGAGACTCTTAATCTCAGGAAACAAAGTGAGGGTTGCTGGAGTGGAGGGGGGTGAGAGGGATCGGGTGGCTCAGTGATGAACACTGGGGAGGGTATGTGCAATGGTGAGTGCTGTGAATTGTGTTAAGACTGATGAATCACAGATCTGTACCCCTGAAACAAATAATACATTATATGTTAATTAAAAAAAAAAAAAAGGTTGACTAGCCCGCAATTGAAAAAAAAATAAAGAGAAAAAACATCAATTCAAGCCATGAAATGCATTCACAGACACAATCTTTACATAACAAATACAATTTCAATCAATATCCTGTATTATTCCTTGAGCAAATCTTTGTTTTATTTATATATTATATGTAAAGTACAAATATCATAATTATAAGCACAGAAAATGGTAATCAACATGGGGCATAATCAACTTGGTTGTATTGGGTTACTGAATTTCAGAAACACTACCATTATATATAGAAATAATAAATGTGAATTTGTTGTATTATTACAATTTTATACATCTGATGCATAGGTTATGTTAATATAAACTCTTATAAACTCTTGTTTAATAAAACAAAAGGACAAAGGAAACCAAATAATCTGGTAAGTAATGTGTACATCTCCCCCATTCAAATCTTTATCCAATCAATGTAGTAACTATTTTTCTGTTATTTTTCAGGTAAACAAAACAACCAAAAAAATAAAATAAAACAACACCGAACAAAACAATGGAAACTGACAAATCCTTGTTGCCTACAATTTCAAGAACTAGGCAAGGAAGGGATCAAACTTCCACACCAGTTCTTTGGAATCATTTTCCTGACCTCCTTAAGTTGATCTGTACTGCCCCACGATGCTGAACGCTTGTGAGACCCTTTCTTCTTTTCAGAGTATTCTTCGGCCCATGCACTCTCTGTCTATAATGGGAAAAAGAGGGAAGGGGTAGGTTAATTGCAACAAGATGGATAGACCTTGAGGGTATTATGCTCAAATAAGTCAGGCAGAGAAAGACAAATACCATATGATCTCACATGTGGAATCTAAAAAACAAACTCAGAGAAAAAGAAATCAGATTTGTGCTTATCAGAGGCACCAGAGGTGGAGCTGGATGAAGGTGGTCTAAAGGTACAAACTTCCAGTTATAAGATAAATAAGTACTGGGGATGTAATGTATAATATGATGACTATACTTAATACTGCTGGTATAGTATATTTGAAAACTGTTAAAGAGTAGATCCTAAAAGTTCTCATCACAAGAAAAAAAATTTTTAACTATATAAGGTAATGGATGTTAACTAAACTCACTGTGATAATCATTTCATAATATATGTATTCCAAGTCACGCTGTACAAAAACTTATACAGTGCTGTATATGTCAATTTTATCTCAATAAATCTGAAAAAGTTTCATTTCTAAAAAAAGTATACACTTTTCTATTATACAATACATTCCCATTAAAGAAAATTTAGTACTAGAGTATTTAAAAAAACACAATGACCCAAAATTCTTCCAGCACGTTACTTTAATTATAATATTTTAGCATATTTCCTTCATTTCTATTGATAAATTCTTAGTTATTATTTTTACATAATTATAAGTATAGCATTTATTGAACAAATGTATACTAATAATAACTAACATTCCTGGGGCGCCTGGGTGGCTCAGTCGTTAAGCGTCTGCCTTCGGCTCAGGTCACGATCCCAGGTCCTGGAATAGAGCCCCGCATTGGGCTCCCTGCTTGGCGGGAAGCTGGCTTCTCCCTCTCCCCCCCCTGCTGCTTGTGTTCCTTCTCTCTCTGTGTCTCTGTCAAATAAATAAATAAAATCTTAAAAAAAAAAAACAACTAACATTCCTGTGATCTTATTATGTGCTAGGCACTTTGCTTTATGGAAGTACAGTGAAAGGTCTTCACTGTATTATCTGATTGAATACATACGAGAAGCTCTACAAGTTCTGCAGATAAGGAAGCTTGATAAGTTGCCTAATGTCTCACAGCTAAGAAGTGGCAAAGCCAAGATAAAAACCTAAGACTCTGAAGTTCATAATCTTAACCTCTATACTATGTCTAGTCTTGATTTAGATATCTGCAAAACATAGCCTCAAAAATGGCAAATTCTTAGTGGTTATACAAAATCCAGAATTTAAAGACACTGTATTAGGAAAAAAAAAGTACAAATGAGTTCTTAGTATGTGAAAATATGCCCAATCTCACCCGTTAGAGAAATCTAAGTTAAAACTTCACTGAGATTGGGCAATTTGATATCATACTCTTTCCTATATTGCTGGTGAAGTGTAAATTAAATTAGTACAGCCTTTATGGAAGGGGACTAAGCAATTGCTGTCAAAGTTACAAATGCACATACTGTTTCACTCACCTTCTTTTGTAATTTATCATGCAGATGTACAAAATATGTATCTTTATGCACAATACAGCATATTATTCCCAGTAGCACTATTTTTACAAGTAAAAGATTAGAACAATGTAAAGAAAGGATTTGTTAAATAATGGTGTGTCTTTACAACAGAATACTTATTCTGCTATAAAAAATGAGTAAGGAAATTCACAATAATCTCTGTGAGATTAAGTGAAAAACTCAAGGTTCACTACAGTATGTATAGCAACTTCCTTTAACCAGTGCCACTGGAAAGAATATACACATATGTAAAGTATCTCTGGAAGAATATACATGGTAACAAAAGAAACATAACAGTGGCTGTCTCATGGGAGGAAGATCCTTCCTTCACTGTATGTACTTCTGTACCTCTTAAATTTTGTACTATAAGAATGAATGTATAGCCTATTCAAAAAAATACCTCTCTATATACGGACCGGGGGGTGGGGGCAGGACTTTTAAGGGAGAATCTTTCATATGGATGGAGTAATGTCCGTAAGTAAAAAACAAGATTGTAGAATATATACACATCACATATATAATATTCCTGCCAAAAATGTAATAACTTGAATCTAATTGTGAAAAAACAGAGTCAAGTTGACAATACTCAACAAAAATACTGGCTTATACTCTTAAAAAATTTCAAGGTCAGGAAAGACAAAGAAAAGCTAAGGAACTGTTTCAGATTAAAGGATACTAAAAAAAAAAATAACATCTAAACGCCATGTCTGCTTCTTGACTAGATCCTGGCTTACAGGAGAAATTACTAAGAGAACATTATTGAGGAAACTTAAAAGCACTGTATCAATGTTAAATCTCCTGGATTTGGTAATCACTTTGGTAATTTTTATTTAAGTCCTTGTTCATATACACGTTTAAGTATTTGAAAAGAGTCAGAATGTCTGCAACTTACTAATGATTAGTAAATAGTAACAATAGCAATTATATCTGCACCAAAAAATAAAGAAAAAACATAAAAATGTTTATTGGTGAATATAGGTGAAGAGTCTACTGGTGTTTAATCTGTTCTTACAATTTTTCTCTAAGTAAGACTTTTTCCAAATAAAAAGATTTTTTAAATTAGGGAAATCTAAATATATTAAGTATAAAATTTAACTCAAGGAAAAGCAAAGGAATACAAAAGTTTCCTACAGATTCGTTAAGAACAAATTAAAGAAAATGAGAACAAGAGTATTGATTAAGAAAAATAAAAGTAAGCATGAAGAGCAACAGACAGCTTTGCTAATTTCAGTTATAAGATATTCAAACAGGAAAAAATACTTACCAAAAGTCACTAATTTTACTTAAACTCCTAACTCAAAAGACAACTGCTTTCTTTGTTCCACTTAGATGTTAATAAAAAGTAAAATTGAGTTTTAATTAAGTACATTTCAACTTTGTTCAGTCTTGCACTGTATACCAGAAAACTATTAAGCCTCTACTGCCAATGCGTCAGGCACTGGACTAGGTACTAGGGTTAAGGAAGAAACACACTTCTTATTCTCAAAAGGTTTTTTCTAGGAGAGAAAGGACAAATAGCCAATTATGGTACCATGTGATGAAGAGGTCCCCCCAAGAAAGGCATCTAACCCAGAACCAGAAAGACAGGGAAGGAGGTAGGCAAGATTTTATGGGATGGGGGGAGGCTGCTATGAGCATTAGAGTATAAGGTATCTAAGCAAATGGTGGGAAGGCACTCCAAATAAAATAGAAAACGTGAGAAGCATCAGTGAAGAGAGTACAGGGCACTGCAAGTTCATTATTGAGAGTAGGGGTGTTTTTTCTAAATTATTTTTAGTAGGTAAAAAAATATATATATGATTTACACAGTCAAGAAACTGTATTTGTTTTAAAGGATTCCATGATATAACCTTATTTTATAGCCCAGCCTGTTTAAAAAACATATAGAGTCGCTGGCCTAAAGAAATCTGATCTAAAATGTGAAAAAAGGACAGGAACACCAGTCAAGTGGTAAAATATCTAGAAATCTAGATTATTTCAGAATCCTAGGCTTAACCAAGAAAGGCAAAGCTACTGAGAAGCCAACCAAAGAGCTTATAAAGAGGTCATTAGATTTAGGTCTGGGGGGAAAAAAAAAAAAAGATTTTAACACTTTCCTTCCCTCTTAATATTACCAATTTTAACCAGTGGACCAAGGTTTTATACAAAATAGCAAGAGTTACTCAAAGAGTAATTTTTAAAAAAATTTTTATAAGATTTTATTTATCTGACAGAGCAAGAGGACACAAGCAGGGAGAGCAGCAGAGGGAGAGGGAAAAGCAGGCTCTCCACTGAGCAGGGAGCCCGATACGGGACTTGATTCCAGGGCACCCTGCGATCATGACCTGAGCCGAAGGCAGACGCTTAACGACTGAGCCACCCAGGCGCCCCTCAAAAAGTAATTTTTTTAAAAAAGCTGATCCACCTCTTCAGTACTTTCATTTCATAACACTAAGACACATTGTAGTGTTGCTTATATCAAATATATAAAAGTTATTTTTTTGCTATAAATTCCAGATCATTCTTTCAAAAAAAAAAAAAACCACCTCTAAACAAGGTTATAGACTCATAAACAGCTATCTTCAGTAATTCAACCTTATTTTAGTCTCTAATTTACTAAGTATTTAATTTTATTAGGTTTTTTAAAAATAGATTTTATTTATGCATTTGACAGAGAGAGAGAGCATAGGCAAGGAGAAGGGCAGGCAGAGGGAGAGGGAGAAGCAGGCTCCCCGTTAAGCAGGGAGCCGGAGCCACCCAGAAGCCCCTAATTTTATTAGGTTTTAGTAACAGACCATCTTATAGTTTCTGAACTTGGATTTCAATTTCAAGCCAGTGCATAAAATAGTAAGCTCTTAATCAAAATCAACCCCTGAAGAGGGAAAATAGTCTCTGAAATGTAGGAGTTCCAAGAGAAAATAACGTAAGATTTTTAAAAGCAAAAGATGACTGGTTTATGTAATTAAAAAAAACAAAAGAAATAATAAAGAAAACCAGACCCCAATCACATGAGTCATAAATTCACATACTCATACATGCCACCAGTAAGGTAAAGAAGCCTAGGTGGTTAGGAAAGTTGGGAAGAGAATACGTTTTGAGTCAAAAGAATGTCAAATAATCCAACCACACATACACATTTCATTTTATCCCTCACACAAATTGGTACAGTCAGAAAATTCAAAAGGCATCCCTTACTAATTAAGTGAATTAAATTAATAGAACTGCAACATAGATAATGCTGGGAATATAAGTTAGTCTAAATTGGGAGGGCAAACTGATAAATGGTCAGTTTTTAAAGGAATCTTTAAAAGAACATGGGAGGTGGGGGGACAGGAGGCAGAGGTTGGGAACAATGTAGTATTAAGAAGTGTACCAAACTCTAAAGCAGAAATGGTAGACCAGCCCCGCTCCACTGGCAATGGCAAGCTAAAGCACTGCGCTAGAGAGACTCTCAGGCCATCTGAGTTCACAGGGAATGAGCAATGTCTGCCAAAGATACAGAAAAAAAGAAATGATGCCATATTTTTGCTATCTTTGTGTCAAGTAATTAGGATGACAAATAATCATGTACAATAAAATTTTAATCATCCACTCATCCTCATGACCAAAGCAAATAATGGCGTGGGGGGAGGGGAGGAGGGGAGATTAACATCTTTAAAAAACCTGCTGCCATATTCCTAAACTTTTTTGATGCTGCCTTTCTCTGTATTTTCCAGAACCTCTTCTTTCCATTCCCACTCATCCCTGAGATACTTAGACCTTAGACTCAAACATAATTTTTTTTTTTTTTAATGAAGAACCAGGGCTCAGAGTGGTGACATGATATGTTTTGTCAAAAGTCTAGGAGGAACTTCCTGGAAGCACCCATCTATAATATAAAATAAATTACTTCCATCATACTTACTGCTCTAGCACTATATGGACCGGCTGATAAAAGAGCCCAGGGCCTCTCAACTAGAGCAAAATAGCCAATCAGGAATCGTTAGCCCGAACCTTTTTCAACATAATGCTCCAGGAAGCTAACAGCAATTGACAAACTGCTTAAGACAGAAAACCGACATGCCATCCTTGTTCTGACAATAATCAAAGGTAGTAATTTTAATGGCAAGTATTTACTAAATCCTTACTATGTGCCAGACACTGTTCTAAGTGTTTTACATGTATTTCCTTGTTTAATCCTCATAATAATCTTAAAAGATAGGTACTATTCTTTTCCCATTTTACAAAGAGGAAACAAAGGCACAAAAGTGACTGAACTCCAAAGAAGATACACAAAAAGCACATGAAAAGATGCTCAAGATCATTAGTCATTAGGAAAATATAAATAAAACCCATAAGATACAATTTCATACCTATTAGGATAGCTATACTGAAGAAAAAAACAGGAAAATAGGTTTTGGTGAGGATATGGAGAAACTGGAGCCCCTTCACATTGCTGGAGGGAATATAAACTGGTGCAGCTGCTGTGGAAAACAGTTTGGCAGTTCCCCTAAAAGCTAAATATATGACTCAGCAATTTCACTCCTACATATGTACCAAAAGGAATTGAAAGCAGAGATTCAAACAGACACCTATAAAGCAAGGTTCATTTCAGCATTGTTCACAATAGCCAAAATTTGTAAAAAACCCAATGTCCACAAATAGATAAATGGATCAACGGATAAATGGAGAACCCATACAATGGAATATTATTCAGCCATGAAAAAGAAATGGTTCAACATGGATAAATCTTGAAAACATAATGCTAAGCAAAATGAGTCAGATATATATTATATGCTTCTACTTATATGAAATATCTAGAACAGGCAAATTCACAGAAACAGAAAGTTGAATAGTGGTTACAGATGCTGGAGAAAGAGGAATTACAGAGTTCTTGTTTGGGGTGATGAGAAGTTTTGGAAACATAACAGCAATGGCTGCACAATGTTGTGAATGTAATTAATGCTACTTAATTGTATACTTAAAAATTGCAAATTTTATGTTAAATTCATTTTACCAAATTTTAAAAAGCTGATTTAAGGGGCGCCTGGAATGGCTCAGTCAGTTAAGCGTCCAACTCTTGGTTTCGGCTCAGGTCATGCTCTCCGGGTCATGAGACTGAGATCAAGCCCCCCATCAGGCTCCATGCTCAGCATGGAATCTGCTTGGGACTCTCTCTCTTCCTCTCCTTCTGCCCCTCCCCCCTGCTCATGCTCTCTACCTCTCTTAAAAAAAAAAAAAATCTTTAAAAAGCTGACTTAATTAACTAGCATACATATATTAGGGAATCCAACATCTACCAATAGAGAATTTGAGAACTTATGTAAATGAAAGATTAGAGTGCCCAGCTATTGCTGCATTATACCTTAGGAGATTCTTTTTTTTTTTTTTTTTTTAAGATTTTATTTATTTATTTGAGAGAGAGAGAATGAGACAGAGAGCATGAGAGGGAGGAGGGTCAGAGGGAGAAGCAGACTCCCTGCCGAGCAGGGAGCCCGATACGGGACTCAATTCCAGGACTCCAGGATCATGACCTGAGGCGAAGGCAGTCGCTTAACCAACTGAGCCACCCAGGCGCCCCTACCTTAGGAGATTCTAATGTGAACTTTACAAGCAAGATTAACAGTATGATAATTATAAGTTTTCTTTATATTTGTACCCTTAACATTCCCAATTTGGGGGCCATTTAGAAAAAGGTGAAGAGACTACTCTTTATACTTTAATTCAATGTAGTCAGAGTTAGGTGGGCTCCCAGTGGCTTCTAAGATTGTTTATTCTTACTGTTAAGACAAAGTATCTGAACCCACTGAACCTGAAACTGCAGAGGAGATAACAAGGGTTGCAGAAATGTTCAAGGAAATATACCCAGAGTAATTTAAACATGGCATGTGGATTAAGCAGAAAGCAAGTAGGAATTACTCATTTTCCATACTATATGCCCTAATTTCAGCAAACTTACAGATTTTGAATAAATGAAGAATCTTCTATAACTCTTTGGTTAAAGTCAGTTTCTCACAATATTTGTAAATTTGAGGAGCACAGGCTCTGTTTTCATTTCTGTATTTGCCACTGGAATATAAACCTCAAGGTAATCTCATATCCCAAGCATCTACCCTAACAGTGGGACTCAGTTTCAAGAATATCAGACCACAAAACAAACTAAGCCCAACAAGAATACGTGGAATTTTGGAAACCCAAATACAAATCCAAAAACCACTACAAAGTATGTTTACTTGGTTCTATAAAAGGACATTCTCTTCATAAAGTGCTGGGATCAAACTACCATCAGTGATGTAAATTTGAAGTCTAAATCGAGATATACCTTAACTGATTTTCAATAGTCAGTATAAAGAATCTTTTAACTCTTTAACTGATTTTCATTCTTCACTAGCAATAAAGCTTTAACTATTCTGCTCATTCATCCCTTTGCAAACAATCCTTGAGTGTTTACTCTCTCAGGTACAGTACTAAATCCTGGAGATGAAAATACAGAAATGGATGAGCTAGGCCATGGGCTCAACATCTAGTAAGTATGAGAAATATTAAATAAACGATTAGACAAATATTTAATTAACTTTAATTATAGTAAGCGTAATGAAAGAAACTAAACCATAAGTGCTATGAAAGTCATCACCTGGCTTCATGATCTTGGACCTCAGCTTCCTCATTTGTAAAATCAGGAAGTAGATCTAAATGATCTCCTAGGAACCTTTTCTTCATTTATTTTTAGTAATCTCTATACCCAGCGTGAGGCTTTAACTCACAACCCTAAAGATCAAGAGTTGCATGCTCTTGCAGCTAAGCCAGGCAGGTGCCCCTCTTAAGATCCTTTTAATGAAAAAATTTCAGAAATCTAAAAGTATAAAATTTTGCTTCCAGGGTCTCTTTGTCAGGATATTTACATTTACAGAATCTATCTGCAACATAATATAATCCCTATCTCCCGACATGTGACGATTTTTTGGCACAAAAATATAAGGTTAGATGGAAAGTAAAGTAATCCTTACTGTTACAAATTCAATATATTAAATCTATTCTGATGTTCTAAACTAACAATAAAGAGGAAGTGGGGGGGAAAAGTGTATCCATAAATTATCCTTATGTATTGGAATTACTTTGGGAACTGTTTAAAATGTACATTCCCAAGCCTCAACCAAAGCCTACTACAGAGTATCTGGAGGTCAGGCCTGGGAATCTGCACTTTTGATAAGCTTCTCAGGTAATTCTAATACACACTAATGTTTTAAGAATTTGAGCACAGCGGGGCGCCTGGGTGGCTCAGATGGTTAAGCATCTGCCTTCGGCTCAGGTCATGATCCTAGGGTCCTGGGATCGAGCCCCACATCGGGCTCCTGGCTCAGCGAGGAGCCTGCTTCTCCCTCTGCCTCTGCCTCTCTCCCTGCTCATGCTTTCTCTCTCTCTCTCTGTATCTCTGTGTCTCAAATGAATAAATAAAAATCTTAAAAAAAAAAAAAAGAATTTGAGCACAGCATAAAACAAATAATGTTATGAGAAACGGGTTTAAGAGTAAAACACTTCAGGATAAGAATTTTAATACACCTACCTGGGTAGCCTTGTCCCTCATGCAAGGAGCAGCTTGCCCATGACTATCACGAGGCCAGTGTCCTGCAAGGTATGGGGCAGCAAGTGTATCCAGAGAGGAAGTCCGGCGGATAATACTAGAGGGGCTCGAAGATGGTGGTCGTGTTTTGTCACCTAGATTTAAAACAAATACATGTATTTTTAAAACAGATTAGGAAGGAAACAAAGTAGAAACTAAGTTTTAAACGATGTGGAAATAACTTAAATAGAAAAAACAAGTGAATAAGCTACTGATTCACACAAACTTGGATGAATCTCCAAGGAATTATACTGAGTGAAAAAGTTAATCTCAAATGGCTACATACTGTAGGATTTCCTTTATATAACATTCCTGAAATGAAAAAAAATGTTAGAAATGGAGGAAAGATTAGTAGCTGCCAGAAGTTAGAGCTAGGAGAGGGAAAATGAAGTGGCAGAAGAGAAGCAGGCATTGTAACAGGGCAACAAGAGAGACCCTTGTGATAAGGAGCTATTCAGCTTGACTGCAGTGATGGATATACAAACATAAAAAGGAGATTAAACAGTACAGAATTATATACATGCACAAATGAGTTCAAGTAAAAGTGGAAAAATCTGAATTAAGAGCAAATCATACAACATCCATATCCTGGTTATAATATTGTACTACAGTTCTACAAAACGTTATTGAGGGAGACGGGGGCAAAGTATACAAGACTTATTTGTTACAACTGTAATCATCTCTACAGAAAAACAGAAAATAAGACAAATGTGTATCTACCCATTTTAAAAATGTTCATCTTGGTTTTAAGATTAAATAGGTATAACACACAAAATACTTATCATTACACCACCTATACTCAAAATGATATAAGGCAGTTAAGACAAAGTTACAGGAAAATTCCATTTTAATCAGCTCTATAGGACACATATCTCAGGTAGATTTTGTTACAGTAAACCAGGCTACAGGAGCTATTGTTGAAGCCCACATAATGCAAAAGTCTTTTCCACTGCAAGCTACAGGTTATGTATTTAGATGTAAGCAAAACATAAAAACTAAAAAAATTAGAGGTAATGGGAAGTGAGAGGTGACATAGGAAAAACACCTTTATATCTTTTTTTTTTTAATGGGGGAAGGAAATAGGCTTAGCTAATTCATGCTTTAAAAGGAAAGAAAGCGAAAGAAAAAGAAAAAGCAAGCAAGCAAGGAAGCAAGCAAGCAGGCAAGGAAGGAAAAGAAAAGTTTTAAAAATAATAAACATAGAAAGAAAAGACTTGAGAAATATTAAATATAAATATATGCGTAAGTAGGACTGTATTATAATGGTATCATTCTAGTTCTATGTAACAAATACTTTGCTCTTCTTAAGCTCACATATGAAAACACTTTGAGATACCCCCCATTTGTATTACATTATGTCTTAATAAGAGTCTTGCATAGTTACAAGTATAAAAGTTCAGTTGCTGGTTATGTGACCCATATAACAAAAGATTCAATTCCACTAACATAATAGTTACAGCAGCTGTGTTGCTGATAATCATAAAGCTGCTTCAGATATGCCTCAGATACATAATTTGCTTTCAAAACGGCACAATTATTTCACTAAAACAATGCCTAATTGTTACAAATGCTAACCATCTCTGTGTAGTCTTCCTTTTATAATAAGCAGAAAATAGAGTACATATCCACAAGTTCAAGAAAGCATGTTCTCACATTATGACAAGTGAAAAGCAATAAATGTACATGTTCACAATTTTCCTTTAACTAAAAAATTAATCTCGGGGCGCCTGGGTGGCTCAGTCGTTAAGCATCTGCCTTCGGCTCAGGTGATGATCCCAGGGTCCTGGGATCAAGCCCCGCATTGGGCTCCCTGCTCGGCGGGGAGCCTGCTTCTCCCTCTGCCGCTCCCTGCCACTCTGCCTACTTGTGATTCCTCTCTCTCTCTCTCTCTCTGTCAAATAAATAAATAAAATCTTTAAAAAAAAATTAATCTCTATTGGGACAGTCATAAGAAGATTGTTCTCAGCTAGGAAAAAAAAAAAAAGACACATATACTCGGTAAACTGGGGTATATTCATCAAAACGAAATTGCCAGAAGCTGTCTGGTACTTTTTTCCCTGCTGTGATGCTGCTTTAGTCACCCACCAGTACACTAATCAAACAGTCCTTACTAATGGGTCTGATTCCATTTTGAAGACTTTTAATTATCCAAGAGTTGACTTTTCAAGCCTCCTAAGATTATTAAATTTTCTATAATGAAATGGGAGAATAGAAAATTACACATGGTCACATGTAAAAATACGAAACATTTTCTCTTTAGAACTCCCTTCCTGTAACCCATTCATTTTGAACATTTATTAAAGGTCTGTGAGCCAGTGCAAAGCCCTAGAAATTAAAAAGACTAAGTTACAGTCTCCTTTTGTAAAGAGCACAGTCTACATTTCCATTTCAATCCAAGTTCCCAAAATTGACAGGATTTGGTGCCTAATTATGAGGGAGTTTAAGGGATGGGAGGGAGCCTCAAGAGTCAAAGATGACTCAAAGATTCCCATCCTACCTGAACAAAGGCTGTATTTATAAGGAAGTCCAGAGAAAGAACCTCTTTGACAGCTGACAAGACCCTTCTTGATCGGGCTTCCCCAGCCTCACTCCATTGCCTGCACCACCTCAATCCCTACCTGCTGAATGAACTGCAGTTCCCAACAAATGCCATGCCCTTGCATGCCTCCACGCCTTTGTCTCCACTTAGATTTCCCTAGATATCCCTTTCTTTGGTTTGGCTAATTCATGTTTAACCTTTCAAAACTTCAGCTGTCTAAACTGAAATTCAAAATTCAGTTCAGATATTTCCTCTGGAAAATCTTCCTTGAACAGCTACCCAAGCCCAAGAAACACATCAACTTCTAAGTCAAAAGTCCTACTGTGTGCTGCCATAGCATGGTTCACAGAAATAGTCCCTTGAATGCTCCACTAGAGAATAAAACTTTGGAGGGCAGGAATTCTACTTCCCCTCCATCCCAATGATTAAGACAGTACCTGATATACACGCAGAGAAGAGAATGACTTCTAATGTTACTATTCTTCATCAACAAGGGCAAGTGTGCACAATAAATTGTGATACTCTTATTAATCCAAAGTAAAGCAACAAAGTCAAATGTTGCCTGGTATTAATTACATGTGGAATCTTAAAAAAAGTGAAACTCAGAAAACCGACTGCCAGGTCATGAGAAAATAGGGAGAGGTTGATGAAAGGGTACAAACTTCCAGCTATACAATAAATAAACAAGGTCTGAAGCTCTAACATGTAACATCGTGGCAGGGCTGATTAACACTGCATCGCACAATTAAAATCTGCTGAGTGCAGAACTTGAAGATAAATATGTAAGGTGATGGATGTGTGAATTAAACAGACTGGAGGAACCCTTTCACAATGTATGCGTTTATCAAATCACCGTGGTGTGCACTTTAAATATCTTACTACTTTGTCAATTATATGTCAATAAAGCTGAACAAAAAAAAAGTCAATCAAAACAACAAAACAAAGGTTTAAACTTGACTTTGTTTTTTAACAATCAAGTCTTTAAAGAAGTTAACCACAGCAGGGTGTGGCACTAAAAAAAACCAGCAGTCAGCGCCTTGGGCTCTGGAGTTCAGAACTCCCCAGCTATCTGTGACCTGTTCTACTGGTTCCTGAGTGACTTCAATGACAATAGTAGAGAATCCCAAACCACAGCCCCTGGGTATTACATTAACAGGTTCTACAGACCTTGTTAGATTTAGGTATTTGCAGAACTTAATCAGGTACCACCTTAAAAGGCTGTATTCATATTTGTTCAGAAAGGGGAAAAAAAAAACTCTCCTTTTTCAAGTATAAAAATGATAAATACTCCTCATAAAGAAACCTAACAGTACAAATAAATAAAGCAACCCCAACAGGCGACCACTCAAGAGATAACCATTTTAATGAGTATTTATTTCAGAAATTTGTCTACCACTCACACACACAATTTTATATAAATGAGGCCCCATTAGGCGTGCTATTACTTATTGTTGAGAAATGAAACGGACTTGAGGACCTATTTCCATTGCAATAAATATAAATCTACAGTACATTACCATTTTTAATACCTGTATAGGATCCTATTGAATGGATATACCTTGACTTAATCCCATAAACGATGGACATTTCCAGAGGCAGATATAGATCTTTTTACATTTAATTATCTTAGTGAAAAAATATCTAGACATCAAAAATTACATATCCAAGGACATACATAGGTTAAAATTTTAAGCACTGCCACATTGCTTCCCACCAGAAAGCATTTTGCCCTCACAAGAATACTCATTTGCCCACATTCAGCAGTGTACTTTATCAATTTCTGTCAATCTAAAAAAAGATGAGGGGCGCCTGGGTGGCTCAGTCGTTGTGTCTGCCTTCAGCTCAGGTCATGGTCCCAGGGTCCTGGGATCGAGCCCAGCACCCTGCTCCCTGCTTGGCGGGAAGCCTGCTTCTCCCTCCCACTCCCCCTGCTTGTTTTCCCTCTCTCACTGTGTCTCTCTCTGTCAAATAAATAAAATCTTTTAAAAGAGATGAAAAATATCAAAAAGCATCACACGCTACAGAGAAGTCATTCATGAAAGAAAAAGTCAATCAATGTGGCAAACTTCACTATTGTCTCATTTTAAGAAATTTCCATAGCCACCCCAACCTTTAGCAACCACCACCCTGATCAGTCAGCAGCCATTAACATCAGGGCAAGATCCTCCACCAGCAAAAGAGGACTCACTGAAAGCTCATGTGATGGTTAGCATTTTTCAATTAAGGTGTATACCTTAGCTTTTATATATATATACATATATATATATGATGCTATTGCACACTGAATAGGCTACAGTGTAGTGTAAACATAACTTTTATATGCACTGGGAAATTAAAACACTAATTTGACTCATTTTATTGCAACATTCACTTTATGGTGGTGGTCTGGAACCAAACCCGCAATATCTCTGAGGTATGCCTGTATTCTGGACACAAGTCCTTTATATCAAATATATGTAGGTGAAAATTTTTGTCTAGTCTGAGGTGTGTGTTTTCATTTTCTTAGTGATGTTTTTTGAAAAGCAATTTTTAATTTCAATATAATAAATTTATCAA